GAGCAATTCACTTTCTTTCCTTTCAGGAAAATGCTTTCTCATAACATCATCAAACCAAGTCTTGAACTGTGCTTTGATTTCATCTGTGCTACTTTGCATAATGCCTTTTGACATAAAGTACTTATAGCAGCCATCATAGGTAAGCTGCCAGGAGGTTTTCATACTTGAATCCTTCTCAACGGTAAAGTGTTCTCCAACTTCTTTAAAAACCTTCCCCATGGTTTCTTCTGAGATGGTACACTTAAAGTCCTTCTCCAATGGGCGGATAAACGCAAGAACATCTTTCACCCAAGGTAGTGACTCATCTGGCATGGCCCAGATCATTCCTAAAGATCCCGCAGGTGTCAACACACGACAGATCTCCTTTACAGCATCTTGGTTTGCAAACCAATGGAAACAGTGGGCTGCCAAAACTGCATCAACACTTGAGTCTGGAAGAGCTATATTTAAAGACACACAAGGAATTTAATGATATTCATGTTTCAATGTTCTAATACATTCTATATTGAATTAGTATTTACTTACATTAATTTCTTGCAATTTTTTGTGAATTGTCAAGCATTTAATACGAGAGCCTCTGGCTTGTATCTTGGGGACAACCTCATCCCATGGTTTGACATTAATGAATTGATTGATTGATTGATTGATTGATTGATTGATTGATCGATCGATCGATCGATCATTTTGAGGCTGCAGGTGCAGGTGCAGGTGCAGCATCAGTTGAACATTAACATTTTAATTTTCAAGTTTATAAAACCCTGTAGATAAAAAATAATGTTCTACAGGTAGATAGTAGTCATGTAATCAAGGAATGCTTACACATTTCTTTCACTTCATCACCTTCACATACAAATTGTAGGAGAGCAGATGGTGCATGCCCCTAGGAAATTTAAAAATTTATGTTTTCTGAGATAATTTTTCAACACTCTGGAATAACATTGTGATGAAATTAAGGCTTTTGAATAACAGAGTTTAACTGTCACATGGCCCCCACTCGCTCGAATCTACTTATGGTGGCGGTCACACTAGAGTGACACAAAATAACGTGCATAATTACTTTTAAGTATGGGGTCACTTCCACGACCAGTTTAGCTAGTGGCTGTAATGATCCAGCAACATGCAAAGGCTAGTTTTCACAGCGCATTGGACAGCTCACTCTCAGATATCTATCAACTTTGATAGATGGCTCTGGGGCTCACTAATCACCAACAATCAGCTAAAAGAAACCATAGGGACACTAGAATAAGTCAATAGAGTCCATCCATTTCACAAAAACATGTTTAATCTCCAGTTCTTGTCATCGAAAGAACTAAACATGTATAATGGCGAACAAAACAGAGTGTTAAACTTGTTGCCAGGTCCCTATCTCTGAGGTTGGGTAAATTAACCTATTATGCTTTAGACACCATATAACTGAATAAATAGCCCTCTGTATAGTTTTGGTGCCATATTACATATTATTTACATGTAAAAGCCACCCGTATATAATTTTGAGGACTTATATCAAGACTAATATAAAATAATGTAAATTTAGTATGTGAAATATGGTGAAAAAAAAAACAACAGAAAACTACCCTTCTTGCTGTTTCTTTTGTGTTTCTGTAATTTCTCTCATAAGAATAATTTTATCAATGTTAAAATTTTCCTTTCTTTCAAGCACAAAGTCCATATTATGTACTCAATTTATGTTATCCACCATACAAAGTCTTTTTCAACAGTCATGTAATGCTGTAAGGCAACAGTGGCACATCCCAACTTAGCAACACTGGCTTTCTTGTAACCTGAGCTAGAGCTGCCTCTTGTTTACTAAGTATGTCAATGATCATGTGATGATGGTACAAAATTATCCCAAGCAGTGCCAGGATGGAAAATAATGGACTCTTAGTCACAAAACCAATTGTTCTCTGCTCAGAATGTGTAAAGACAGGAGACATCAGCAATTCTCATGTTTGCTCATTTATTTGCTGTGTTATTGGTGTACGAAAAGTACAAAGATGACGATAGGCAATGCTCAGTAGATCTCTGTAGACTGGTCACCTAATCTCTGGCGAGGTCAGAGGCCACTGTCTAGGAGCCTAAGTTGTCGAAGACTTGCTTTTTCTTTGAATTGGCCCTTAATCAAACAAAACTTATCAGGCGTAACTTTTGTCTTTGTTACTGTAGGTTGTCTACTTGCTGTCTGGAATCTTACGCGGGGCAATTACACTTTTGCGCGGTTACTAATCCAGGATGGCGCTTGGAACTAGTACTGTAAACAGGGCTATTCTAAAATGGCACTGTAAACAAGATAAAATTAAACCTACCAATGTTCTCAGCGAAGCACTGCAACAACTCGACATTAGGCAAAACTCTTTGGAACTCGTGTACCATAGTATTAGTGGGATCACTCGCTATTACCCGCGCGTCGATGCCTTTCAAAACTTCCATCACAACGCGGGTAAATTTTCCCGTACCGGCGCCTAATTCAAGAATACTGAGTGGCTGCGCTCTTTGCTGTTCTAGGATGCCAAGTTTTTTCAAGAAAAACTTGACAGATTCAACACTGTAACTCGGTCGAACTTGTTCGTAGGCTGCTGAGGCTTCAAAAGCCATCGACGCCAGCGTAGCTCGGCCTTCAACACTGTCCTCCATGAGCCGAAAACATAAGCAGGCCCAGGCCATTAGCGGCGAAACAATTTCAGGAATGGAATGGCATTCCATTCCATCCAAAGGATGATGGAATGACATGACACTAATGACTAATGAACAGAATTGAAGACGTTTTGGCATGTACATTCAAGGTTTGACATGAAAACTTAATTTGCAGCATCGATCTGACACGATGAATAGTGATTGATTCAAAAAGGAATTTAAAAGTTGCTCTCTGTTTCCTGGGATTGATTTTAAAATCCATGTTTCAGCAAGTTTAAGTAGCCTTCTTCAGGACTTAAGTAAATAAAAGTGACAATTAAACTTGCTGATATGTCGATTATGAGATCAATTTAAGAACCTCAGGAGAACCCAAAAAGACAGAGAGCAACATTTGATTTAAAATGAGAGACTGGAAAGTCTCTTAGTACGGCTGATCAGATTTTTTATTATTTTATAATTTATTTTTTTCTTTGATAAGCTACTAGTCCTGCAGGTTCGTTATAAATCAGAATAATTTTCTGAATTGATTAATTGGCTACTTATTTTGAATTTTAGTTTTGTTGTTATTTCTATTCTCAATGGTCACTTCTGAAAATGCACGTTGAAACATACCAAAAATTACGTTAAAAGAATATGTTTCCAACAATGTGTTTCATCATAATAGTTATCATCACACTTTGCATACTATTTCTTTTTAAATTCGGAAAGATTTAGAATAGGCAATAGCAAAACTATTTTTAACTGTCGTGAAATGCCGGAATTAAACAGTCAGCTGAGAGTGGAGGGGGGGAAGAGCGAAGACTGAAAGATGGGGAAGGGGACAGGAGAGACTGATTTATTTGGGGGGGGGGG